ATTATTATTATTATTTCTTTATTAACATTGTGGAGATTTTCATGGCGCAAGATTCTTAAGTATTATGAAATCACTATGACCACAAATCCGATACAAAGGAGGCTTAATGTTTTGGCTCTGTTTAAACATTAACTATGAAAAGATTAAGAACATTTTCTTCCTCTCTCTCTCTCGCTCTCTCTCTTTTGCTGTAAATGCTTTCTTTAATAGAAACCAAAAAGCTTATTTTTCAATTTTTTTTTGTTAACAGATTTTCACCTCACTCACAAATGTTGGGTGATTGATGATGCCAAGAATCATGGTAACCAATCTTTATGTATACGACGGGTCATTCCCTTGGCCAGAATTCTGCAAACAAATAAAAAAGACTTATAACCTTGCAATTCATTTATCACTTAAGTTGTAATAATAACAATGTTTCAATACAAGCAGCGTACACCATCTAGGCAGACAATAACAATAAGAACAACAACATTAACTGCCAGAACTTAAAGAACACTTTTGTTATTGTTATTCTTTTTGCCTTTGATGGCAACTTCAATTGTTGTTTGTTTTAATCCTAAATAAATGTTTGCTCGAGGACAACTTGTTATTGTCCTGCCAATGTCTCTCTGTCCGTCTGGTAGACAACAAAGTTTCATTTAATACCAGCATAAATATGACCATTGAGATGGCCATAGACCAGTTAGACCAACCACAACAATCAAGTCATTGACGTTTGGTGTGTTAGATGCCATGGTTTCGGTTGTACACGACACGACAGGGATATTCAATCATTATGACAAATTGGCCTTTTCTATACCACATATCAGTGCAAAGAAATAAAAAAAAAACAAAAATAAGCCACCACTTGAGACTGAAGGTTGTAACAATTCTTGTTAAGGTGTTAGTAGTGATGTATCGTATATTTTATGATTTGCCAGAAGATGTTCTGGCAATTAAATAATTTCCCATTCTAATTAATTGGTAAACGAAAAGCCACAAAATTACTTAAACTAATTGTCGTTCAAACTGCAAGGCAATGTATTTGCATGACCAAATAAAACGACTCAAACTGAAAAAAGTGACCAAAGGCCATTTAACAATTTCATAAAATTAGAATGTTATGCATTAACGACCTGTAGAACCATTTCTCCGCTCAAAGAACTGGCTGAGCTGGTTAGCCACAATAACAGTCGTTCGCCAATTCGTTCAGCCATAATAAATAATGTTTATTAATTCATGACTAGCAAACATTAATTGGACTTGAACGAATTCAGCAGCAGCAGCAACAACAACAACAGTAGCAGTGATAGCAGCAGCAAAATATGTATGTCGTCCTTAAACGATAATCAAATACGCGTATTGCATATCGAAAGAGAATCAATAGATTGAAAATGGCACAAAAATAGACTTGCAAATGAGCCGTTTATTTAAAAACAAAATATTTATCGAAGAGCTTTCTGTTTACCCTTTCTATTTGGAAATGAATTTATTTATTTAGGAACAGCAAATGATTGTGTTGTGTTGTAAAGTTGCTTGAAATATAGACATATGAAATTTTATGACAAATTAAAGACAGTTTCTCTTTTAAATGTCAATCAATTGTGGTTATAGTTATTTTTAAATAAATTATATATTTAGGTTACAATGTTCTGAGATTAAAGCTAAAGCTGGTTTGTATACTGATAACACTGTGTCTATAACTAAAACTAAACCGATAACACTTGGACACAAAATCGATCTCATGGTCTGGGGTGAGAAATTCCTTATGGGGATAAAAGCGACTCTAATGTTTATGAAGAAAATATTTTATATCTTTGTTTGCAACTATTGCAGATTATTATACCCTCATAATTGAATTTAGTTACTGTTTTTAATGCAGCAAATATATGTAATAAAAACAGTAGTCATTCTATTTCATTATTAGATTCTCAGCGTTGACCGCACATTAGAGAAAAGTTAACATTGTCGCATTTTATCCAGTGATTTCACATACGTGCACGTTGAGAGAGATAAGAGACATCATATATCTGCACTTTTAACTTTCATGCACAGAAATAATTGCACGTGTAATTTTTTATCCAAACTTAGTTCAAGTTCGAAGATGGAGAATATCGGTCCACTCCTTCTGGTAACTTCTCCACAAAATGATTAAAACTGAGCTATAAATAATTGAATAATATCATGCAAACGGATTATCCGATTTAAACCAAACTTTCCACAACCTATTATCTTTACCAAGCCTAGATCGAGTCCGATGTTGGGTCCCGTCGGTCGTCTTCTTCTCGTACCTCTCCCACAAATCGACAAAATTTTTAATATTTATAAATCCAATATCAGACGAACGAAATGTCCGACTTGAACTTAATTTTGCACAACCTATTATCTTTACCAAGCGTAGGTCGAGTCCGAATGTGTGAAAAATCGGTTGAATCCTTCTTTTTTTTAATGTTAATGCTTTAATATTTTGTTCTTCATCTATCCCAATTCGTTTAAAGACCATAGTGATTTCAACAGACAGTTACGCTGAGCAAGGATGCATGCACTTCATAGACGGCAATGTGATTAGTTGAATAAGTTACACAATTGCCATTGAATGTATATTTGCAATTGAATTCAAAGTTCCATTTGAAAAAGAAAACAAAAATTTCTGGTGGCCATCCTAATACCATATCCTCATTCCTGTATCTGCCATTGACAATTCAGAAATGCGAATTTTCCTTAATCCATGTTGACCTTTGACAATATAAATTTTTGTGAAAATATTACATAAAATGGTGTAACATATCTTACATCAACATTTTTAAAATAGTCCATTTTCTACAACCTAACCGTACTAAAGTAATTAACAGTAAAAGTTAGATGCGTGACAAGATACTCTGCGTCAAATTTATTAAAAGCTATTTTCTAATTAAACTTAAAAAAAAATGGAACTTTATTTATTTTAAGTTTCTTTACATTTCTCAAAACTGTGTGCATACGCATATACTCACTCGCATACATGTATGTGTGTGCATGAATGTATGAGACATTGATACATGACACGTGCATAATTTGCTCGTTATATGACACACTACATCATATATCAGAGCGACAATGGTGTCGTATACTTAATAATTAATCCCATGTTTTGTAGGAGAACTATCTATCCATCCATCCGTCTGCCTTGATGTCTCCCACATACATTTCGGTATAAAATATTTTCAACTAGATTTTATTTTGGGTCTCTAGACTCTGTATAAGATACTGTCTTGGTTTTGGGTATGATTTTCCGTGTGCGTGTGTAGTTTTGTACATGAATGCGTGTCCGTGACTACAAAGGTGTGTTTAACTATTATGCGTGGTCTTATTTTTGGTTATGACTTCGAGTAAAGTATTTTTCATACTCATAGCCAAAAAGTTAATGAAGTTTAACAGCAACGAGTATAAAAATAGCAATGGAATTCAAATTAAGAAATATTTGGCAATGTGATAAAGATAATGTACTTATATTAAAGTTTAAAGGATAGATTTGTGGGAATGTTTTCCTTAAAAAATATTTATTCAATGATCTGATGAAATATATATGAGGTCAATATAGTGTATGATTTTTCAATTTTTTGAATTACATTCTTACTTTCAATGACTTCTCGATATATTTATTGAACGAAAAAAATTAAAAATGACACGGAGATCTACTTTATGAAAAAGTTTGACAAAGTAAAAATAAAATTATATACTTTATCTAGAAATGTCATAAAAGAATTGAAGTAAAAATCTACCAACCAGTATTTAAACTACTACAATTCCAAACACAACTGCACAAAAATATCGTGGAATGTGTGTTTTTGAATTAATAGGCTCGTGGTTAGACACACTTCATTGCCTAAGAATTTAATAAAGTCAGGTCGTAGGCGTATTGCGTGCATTTGTCATAACATCAATTTCCCAACAACCCAACAAGTACCAACAAAATTTCCACAACACACCATAATGGCAACAAACAACGAATACCAACATTCTGGGTACTGTGCCCTAATAATCCGCAACAATGTCCATGGAGTATTGCAATTACAAATTATAATTAACTACGCCAAGTACAAAACGAAGCTGCTGGAAAGGACAGTGCAAAAGGGTCACACAGTGCAAAAGGGTCACAAAATTGAGAACAATTATTCTTACTTTTTATACAATTTTTTAATATAATTGAAAATGCGGATACACACATTTTCACTTGGAACTTCCGGTCTAAATGAGTACGAAATGATTTAAATATTTTAAGATTTTAGTCCTTCTTATGAAAAAACAAAACACAGACGATGTATCTCTTATCAACAGACGATGTATCTCTTATCAATATTCTTTTTACATTTTTTCTATGATTTTCTTTTACACATTTTAAAATTCTTCATAAAATTGGATTTTAATACAAATTATTTTACAATCACTTAAACAAAAATAATGCAACTATTATTGGAAATTAATTAAGAACTAAAATAATAAATTTTTTCTGCACTCTCTTTGTTCTTTTTTCTTCCCTTTTCTTTCTCTCTTATTGCAATGTGATTGTCTGTGTGTTTATATTGAAATTGCCTGTTACTGCCACAAAATAAAATTTACGAATAAAAAAAACAAATAAAAAACCACTATTATCATTTCAAAACAACAACAACAACGACAAACAATATCATTACCACCATCAAAAATGACAACGTCAACTCTTCAAAACAACAAAACGTTTACATCAAATTCTACACAATACATATTCAAAACTCTGCAACGACCTAAACTGGATTGGTTGGGTCTCTTCCAAATGTCCTCGCTGGCTTGTTCTGTCACATCCATCCACCCACACGCACACATCCATCCATCCATTATTCATGGTCGATGAAATGTCCACACTATTCTGGTTAAAACATCTCTATGACTATGCCTCCTTGCCTGTCGACTTGCCGCTGCCTTTGTTTGGACCACTTTGTGGCGCCTGTTTTTATTTTGTTGCATACATGTATGAACGACGTTTGATTGCATGTAGGCTGTTGCGTGCCGAACTATTGTCGTTGAGACGAAAAGGAGCCCTAAAAATTGGTGGGGTGATTGGAAACGGTAGTGGTGGTAATGTTGGTGGTGGACCAACAACGGCAACTGACGAAATGTCAACATCATCCTCATCTGCAAATCATCAACAGCAACAACACCTGCAATATCAACAACAGCAGCAGCAACAACAACAGCAATTTCAATTGGAACAAAACAATCATAATTTACCCGCCCCTCCTCTGCTCCACGAATCGAATCGTCACTGTGCCCGCTGTAACACCGAACTGGGACGTATAACAAATCGTGGTGCTCCTTGTCGTGTCTGCAAGCTGCGAGTGTGCAAGGCCTGCCGAGAATTTACCACAAGAACCACCGATTGGGTTTGCGTAGTCTGCCACAAACAAATGTAAGCCAAAAAATCAGTGTGTGTGTGTTGTTCTCCCTTCTACTTGTTGTTCGTTCGTCTGTTTTTTCGTTCGTTCCGATGTTTGTTTTTGATTTCGTCCTTTGTTTCGTTACAAAATTTTGATTTGATTGATTAATTTATAATCACTTTGCGTTTTTCCATTCATTCAATGCATGTTTTCAAAGTTTTTGTTTTTATTGTCGTTTTTTGTGTTGTTCTTGAAGTTTTGTTTGATCATTTAATTTGTGTTTTTATTATGATTCATGTACATACAAAGATACACATACATACAAGTATCCATATTCATTTAATAATCTTAAAACTAAGTATATATTTACATAAACAAATTATAATATTTATAAGATACTTTTCAGAAATATTTACACAATATCCTGCAATCAAATTGAAATCTGTGAATACCTAATTTACCACCTGTGTTTTTGTGTATTTATTTCAAAGCTTAATGCAAATAGTTTCTTATTTTTTGAGTTACTGAAATCCAGAACCTTTGCCATTGTTAGGATAGTAAGATTAACTCCTACACTTGTTATTTAATTTTTTAACATGTTATCCAATTAAGAAGTTAATAGTGTGTATACAATAAATTTATACGGACAAATTTCAAAACAAGAAAATCGGTTAGAAAATGTATATCGCCAGTACCTCATAAATATCTAGAACGGGTGTGTATCGTTCAAATTCAGCTCCCGAAGAAAATATTTTGAAATGTCTCCAATTGAATTTTAAGAGCAGTTTTAAAAAGGCATTTACTAGCACAAACTCTAAAACCACAGAAAACCATGAAACAGAAACCCTAACCACATTACAAATGGAAATTTTTGTAATGAGATTTTCTGGACAATCCAATTAATTGTAGAAAATTAATATATTTTTAGAATTTTCCATAATTTACTATTACTTTAAGATATACGCTGACCATTTTCGCCCAAAATAAGTCCAAAAAGATAAAGAACGTGACGGACAAGTTCTTTCATTAAAACCTTTCCACTTCAATTACAGCTAGAAATCATTTCTTAGAATTTTACCCTGATCAAGAATATATATACTTTATGGGGTCGGAAATGAATATTTCGATGAGTTACAAACGGAATGACAAAATTAATATACCCTCCATACTATGGTGGAGGGTATAAACATGAGGTTATATGGGGACGACCCCAAAAAGGGGGCGAATATTAAAAATTTTGGTAGGGAGATTTGTTACCATATACGACTACAAAATACCAAATTGCAGCGAATTCGTTTGAAAAACGCGTCTAAGAATCCCAAAATACGGAAATGGGAACTATCCGAAAAAATAGACCTATATCTACAATTTATTGTGGAGAGATTTGGTACCTATTAAGAACTCAAAATTCGGTGGAAAAATACGACCAAACCATGCGGGCACCAGAAAAAGTGGACCTATATTTATAATTTTTTGTGGAGACATTTAGTGCCTAATAAGAACTCAATGTACCAAATTTAAGCGTATTCGGTTGAAAAGCGCGCTCAAGCTATGCCTAAACGTGGACCGATATATCCCATCTTCGAACTTCACCTACCTGCAGACAAAAGACAACCCTATGCCAAATTTTAGCACCCTACCTGAATTGCTTCAGAAGATAGGCTAGATCATCTTAGAATTTTACCCTGATCTAAAATATATATGCTTTATAGGGTCAGAAATGAATATTTCGATGAGTTAAAAACAGAATGACACAATTAATATACCCTCTATACTATGGTGGAGGGTACATAGGTCTGTAAGTTTAACCCCATTTCAACACGAAACTATAGAAAATCAGGACAGAGGACACCACAAGGAGAGGGAATCCTTACTTGACTTATAGTAAAATTTGATGATTTTTGCCCTTTATGCCATCCTTCTAAAACGACATATTGTGGAAAAAATTGGAACAAACACGGAATAAGATAGGTTTCAACACAGGCTGATTTTCGAGTTTTGGTGTATTCTGACACCTATAGTAAACCTTTATTGCGAACATTTTGAAGAATATTCTGGCATGCTGTAAATGGGCTCCATTATTTTTGGAAGAGGAGAGCGAAATGACCCCTTCAGAGAGTCGACTGAAATAAATATATTCCTCACATTTATATCAATAATATTGCCAATAACAACATTTACCTAAAATTCAAAGATTTCGAGAAATCTTAATCCGGATATTTTCAAATATCTTGAAAATGGGTAATATTGCCACGCCTTTTTAGGTTACCTCCCGATGTAAACGTTCAAAATGCCGATACAGGTGTCTTTTATTTTTAGCCCCTCTGTCATAATTTTTTCGAATTTTCCCATAATTATCAAAAAATTAAAATTCGTCGCACAGGGTAATTATCCTTTCAATAGGGCTTAATGTCAATCCGAAAAAAAAAACAATATACATATATTTTTTAAAAAAGCATAATAGTACCTACGAAATGAAATAATAATAATTCTGCAAAAGAAATTTAGGCTATAACACAAAATAAATGGCAAAGCGCCTTACTACAATATAATACAGGCAACAATCGGATCCTCAGACCGAATACATGAAACAAAAGGAACTACGTCATGTGAATGTCGAATACCGCCATGTGAAACTCAAATACACACTAGTAACTGTGCTAGGAGAAAAGACCGAACAGGGACTAATTATAAAAGGACCGGGCCTGAAATTTATCTACCTTCCAGACCACAATATCATCATGATGGATATGAATGGAAAAGAGCAAAAGGCTCGACCAAGTTTAAATGTTAATCAGAAATGCCAACATCTTCTGATTGACTTTTGATTTTAATGGATCCGAAACGACCGGAGTCTTACTCGGTCAACGTCTGTCACCTCAGCTCACTGTATAAGAGCAAGAGGGCTGCAACAACATAAATAGTTGGTAAATTATTGGACGGGGGACACTTGACCTCAGGCTTCCTATATGATAAGTATACAATGAAATATAAGCATAAATATATGACAAGTCTTACGTCGACAGATCCCAATAGATGGCTATTTTTCCGTTGTTATGATATCGTAACAACAGATCATGCAATGTTAAGAGTTTTTAACAAATTGAATTTTTACAAGTCTTAACGTTGTCTAGGTCTATAAAGTATATGTGTTTTTAATTCTCGTATTTATATACACATTCAACATTTCCAACCTGCCGAATTAGAACAAGGTAGTTTTGGTTGATAGGAAAATAAATGCAGATGGACCATCCACCTTTCAGACTTTGTATAGGACTTTCTCTATCACTACAATTTTGAATGTCTTCTAAAATTTTATATTTTTTAACTGTTAGTCTTGTGGTATAATAGATATGACCTCTGATGTGACATTTCAAAGTAATGGAATTTAAAATATTAAATATAACTCGTTAAAATCGAAATACAACGTCAAATTCCGATCTACACATTGTTCTCGAAAAATTCTTCAATTTATCTTATAAAATTATTCTTCTACCAAAAGAAGAATAGATTTTTCCAACAATAGGTCGGCTTGGTTGCGTTTTAATCATTTGTTAAATGTACAACCATTCATTCATTCTTTGATTTGTTTCTAAAATTCTTACAACAAATGAACGGAACAACGAAAGCATCTTCATCATGGAAAACCATTTAATTTTGTCTTGTCTCGACCACAACAACAAAAAATGCCATTCAACAAATCTTTGGATTGCAAATTGAAAGACATTATCTATTGTGCGTGTGTGTGTGTCTGCGTTGTTTAGGGCCCATTTGAAAAGTGTGGCCTAAAACGTTTTATGGCTTTTACATTGCCTGGGCTGGCTGTCAACAATAGACGTCCCGTTCGTCGTGGTTTCGTACTTGCAATTTCAATTTGTTTTGGGATATTTGGTTGACAGTTTCACGGCAAATAACGGGTGATTGGTATTGTATATTTTCTGTTCACCTCTCGTGCCTACCATTGAATTTGATCGACCGGTCGACAGACCGAACGGACCAATACATTTTTAATGGAATTTTATTTCATTGTCATTTTAGGTGGTATTTTTATAGTCGTACACTTCGTCAGTGCGTGTTGTGGCATTAAATTTACTCAATTTCCAATCGAATGTGTTTCCATTGCTCACTCTCCCTCTGTACGTATGTATGTACATGTATATTTTCTTTCAAAAGAAAACACGTGGAAACAAAAACGAAAACTATTGTCAATATTTAAGTATTCGGTGCGCCAACAACGTATCCATTTCACCGTACACCAACCAGTCATTTTGCTTGGCACATCCAAGATAGATGCGAGCGAGTATCGTTAAAATGAAATTGGAAATTGCATATTGGAAAATGTACATCCTCGGAGAGAGTGCCATCACTGTTGGCCAAAACCAAACCCTCAACAACAATATCAACTGGGGCCATGTTCAGATTCATGTGTGTGCTATGCGTTTTGTGGGCATTCAAGTAACTGAAATACGTTCAAGTGCACATACCAACCAACATATGTTTATTAGGGTGATACGAATCACATTGCAGACCTAATCCTAATCACATTGCAGACCATTTGTCACATAACCACTCTAATATCGCAGCATAATATGTTTTGTTTGCATATCGATGGCCAGTCACATTTGAATACAGAGTTACGAGTTTAAAACGTGTACGGCGTTCGCCGTTGTACATTTTAATGTTTTCACCATAAAAAGTGTTCAATTTGTATGCAAAACAGAAGAGATTACAATGTTGTTTTCAAGCTCGATTCGACTGACAAACTCAGTGATAGAATGTTGTGGCGGCGGTGTTGGACAATGTCATGCATTTGAAGATGTGTGTTGTAGTTGTTGCACACTTTTCAGGGGAAAAGTTATTTTTCCCTAGAAATGGCAAAACAACTTTAAAATGTTTATTGATGGCAAATACATATGTTTGTGATTTGATGATTTTGAAAAGTTCATGTGGTAATACACCACACCACAGGAAAATGTAAGCATTCACCACATCATAGCTCCAAATGATGGAAGTCCTTAAAACTCGTTCATCTTTGACTATTACTCGTTTTCAATGAATTTCTTCCCAAGATTTCGTTTTTTTATTTAATAACTTGAACAATATCCTGAATATAATGTGGATAATAATAACGATAAAAATCCATAGATATAATTATAATTGATATTAAACCAATTTAAAGTCAATAATGGAAGGATCAATGTAGCACGGACGACTTTATGGGATAGGATTTATATTATAACTTATAATAAATTAAAGTAAATTTAATTTTGGACTGAACATGTCGTGTGGAACCAAAAAGTCTTTGGTTAATCATTTACTTGAAATAGGATGTAGCAACGTGTATATGCCGACCTTAAACCAACGGTAGAACATGCGTAGCGTCGCTGGTGTAACTACATGTTGGAGCTACATATATAATAAATTGAGCCAGGGTATTATGTATTTGTGCATATGTTTGTAACAGCAAAAGGGAACGAGATAGACCCATGGTTCCTTTTGAGAATATGAATAAAAAATCATTATCGTCCATCTGTCTGTTCATGATAAAATGTAAACAAAGTACAGGTCGCATTTATGATTCGAATGAGAAGAAAACTTATTTGGCCCATGGACGAAAATCGGATCAGATTTTGATATAGCTCTCATAAATATATTTTGATCCGATTTTATATAAATGGTGCACCAAAGTCCTTATATTTCTTTCAATTTACACGAAATTCTTCATAACGTATCAAAGTACGGCTAGAATGATGTGTGCTATGTTTTTTTAATTGGTTAAGGTTTAGATCATATCATATTCATCCGATTTTATGTAAATGGTGCACTAAACTCCCAATGTTTGACCGATTAAGAGGAAATTTGTAATACCACACTGTACTGTGCCTATAGTGATTATTGCGAAATCTCGCTGAATTCGGTTCAGATTTAGATATATATCCATGTCTGATTTTAGGTTAATGGTGTCCTAAATTCCTATTATTTGTCCGATTGAAACAATATTGTACATAGAATATTGAATTGAGTCTAGTATGTTCTGTTTTGTTGAGCAGAACACATTCTGCTATTCTATTACAAATCAGTAAGCGATGGATAGAATCGGATATTCCGTTCGAATTATATGAGATTTACACGAAACCCCCATCTTCAAACATTTTACTGCTTTGGATATACTAATATTAGGTTTTTAGGATACTCCGTAAGCAGGATAGGTACCAGAAGGCGTGGAGCGATTTTTTTAGAATTGCGCTCCACCCAGACAGATATTTGTAAATCGACTCCAAATTATCTGAAGCATTTAGTCCAAAAACATGTATAAATAACACATGTATTTCTAGAATCAAGTAAGTCTCTGCGAAATGTTCGGCACTTTATGAAAATATGTAATTAAATTTATATTTTAAATTACAAGTTTTTTTTCGTTGTATAGTTGTTACTGTCATTTTATTATGTTATTGCTGTCAAAATTTACGAAACACGTGCCCAAACAAAACTCATCTCTGTACACAACTCACATAGGTTTGCAGTCACAACGTTTCAAATTCCCACCCATAAAGTTCAGGGCTGAATGATAGCAGGTGTCAAGTACAGATGCTTCATTAGATTTCAAAATAAGGTGTAACTCATACCAAATGTGGCTGTTGACGACGATGATGTTTAGTTTAGTTTGGAGAAGCTTAGTTTTGCCAAAATAATGGGGGCATAACATCTACATCCGAACGTTAAAAGCAGCAACAGTGTACATAATTGTCGTTAATATGTTGGTATGTACATTTATAATAATAAAGTAATAAATTATTATTTTGAAAGTAATTTGTTTAATTATAAGACATTTGATACAAATAATTTCAAATAAATTATTTAGATAAGATTGCTATTTACCCCTGATTACGGAAGTATATATTTTATTCTACATTAGAATGGGTATTTGGTGAAATTTGTTTAAACTCTGGTGAATAATATAATTATGTGAGAGCATCTAAACCAATTGAAACATATTTTTTCTAGTTAATATGGCGAATTGGAATAATAGTTCGAAAATAAAAGAAACTTGTGCCACAAGACAGATTTTTTGTTACCCAAATATGCTGCAACAAGTATAAAAGTGCCAGTCGATGTTGCCGACAGATACATATATACCCACAGACTATGGTTGATGTAATATTTTTTATAATAATTCAAAAGTGCGACAGTTTGGGAACGAGAGATGATGGACCTATAATTGCATTAAATCTATATCTAATACAAATATTAAGATGTGCCATGTTTAGAACACATTGGATTTAGCATTCACTTTATTTAAATTTTTGAACCGAATGTTCATACAGTTAACCCGATTTTTGTACCGGGGTTATTTAACCACAGTCATATTCATATTTGTAATATTTCCTACGCCCAAGATAGTGATATGCTCCTATGTTGCTAACATTGTGTCAGTGGTCTATTTTATTACTTCGATGTGTTACAAACAGAATTGCAAACTTATTATACCACTCTAACTAATAGGGTATACTAATAAAATCGAGAGTTCTTCCCCTTATATTCATTTTTTTTCATTCGCTATTGTAGGTGGTCATGTGTTCTTAAATCGATTACTTTGCTAATATGTCTAGAACGGCAAATGTTCAACACTCACAGCATCCGTATACGATGCTATGGTGTGGTGTCAAAGCACAATTCAACAACAACCATATTTGGAATATTTCTATACAACTGCAATTATTTAGAATGGGATATGTTCGGGGGCGAATCGAATGATAAAGCTGTACAAACAACAGCGGCAGCAGCAACAATACGCTCAAATGATTGCTGCTAATATTTATGCACATTGTCACCCTTATAGTGTTGGCGTCCCACAGACACACATTGCCCTCCCATATGTGTGTTCGAATAGAAGAAATAGAAACAAAAACCCGACTTTGGCTAGGAAATTCAAATTCAATTCTTGACAAATGCGTAGAATTGTAGTTTTGTTGAGAAGGCGTTTTTAAGGTGGCTCTCTGAAATGATTGAACGAAAATTATCTTTAATTGAATGATTCGCAGACACATACACACGTACGTACCTTCATACATATCACGGGATAAGGTGTTCTTCGTTCGCCAACGAAATTACTGTGGTAATCTCTGAGTGGTGGTGACTGACTGGCTGCTTGGCTGAGTGACTGATGAAGCTTGACTGATGTTGTTAACTATGATTTTTGTTGCATGCCATTTATGTGCGCCAGTGAATCTGTATGTATGTGTGTTATAACTTTGATCACTTGCTAACAACATTGAACATTTGTTTGTTTGCTAACGGTGGCTTAAAGTTCATTTAAGCCAAACTCATCACAACATGGGTTGGTTAATATGGATGTAGTCATTGCTGTGCATCTGTGTATGGAAATTTCAGCGGATGTGTGATGGTTTTGCCGATTTGATGTCTCGCATGATTTCATTTTGGCTGTCATTTAACATTCGGATTCCACAGCAGACGCATCTCTTTTTCAGCAGAGTTGACGTTTTGCTCATTGAATATTTTCCAAATCAGTTTTTTGATTATTTTCGATTTAATGCTGCCTCTACGAAAATGTTTTCATTTCTCATATTCAAATGCAATTGTTTTTCCGCTTGCAGGGAAATTCAAGCATCGAGCGGTGACTGGCTAAAAGGTTCATGTGGTGCTGTCGATCATTTGGCCACTAGTGACGTTTTGCGTAAAAGTATACGACGTTCTTGGACCATATCAAGTAAGTGTTTACAATTTGATAGAAGAAAACCGCCCAGAATATTGTATTTCTTATTTATCCCCTTCAGATCCCGAGGACGATCCCAATAATCCAAACGCTCAAAATCCTGTGGCGGATAATCTTTATCCACAGCAACAAAATCTGATTGAAGCTCAATCGGCTGGCAGCTATCCCACCTTAGATGTACGCCACCATCAGCACCACAATCTTCCCCAGTCAATACGCAATCATCCCATTGTAAACTACAATACGGGCAGTGCCATTACCATAGCTGGTGTCGGTGTTAGCCACAGTAATATCGGACCGGGCTATCACGTGAACCCACAGCGTCGTGTCTTACGTCAATCGACTCTACCCACAACTCTGCCCAATAACGAACAGAATCTAACTGGCAGTGGCAGCAATTTGGAGAACTATAACAGTGTCAATCTGACAGCTCCCACATCGCCACATCAGATGCAAAAGGGTCCCCTTTATCCCAGCGCCTACAATAGTGACGACATCATCAACATTGAAACAAGCGATTGTGATAACTACGCACAACAATTACAACAACAGCAACAACCAATTCCATCGGGACAAGTAACCCCAACGCATCACCGTTTACAGGTAAGTAACTGCTGCTAACTAACCACGATAGCGTTGACTAACGATAACTATTTTTTGAATTTCGCTTTCTCTCTCATTCAAAGGTGCGAAGACAATCAACACTACCCGCAAATCCATGTCAACCACCAATGTATATGTCAACATCACCGAATCGCGGTTACAGCCGCTCACCAGAACGCTCGCCGGGCGAACAACGATATCCGCCGTTCATACGTCAAACCTCATTCCCCTGTAACATCATGGAACCACCTGCACCAACATCGGCGACCACAGCCACCTCATCATATCCCTCACCCATGCATCGTGGCAAAATATTACCTTCGACGGGTAACTTCAATCAATATGATCAGCCACAGGCCACACAACCGGCACCCCTGGCTGAAGACTTGGAATACAATGCCCCCAGTATGCCCAAGCCACGAATGATGCGCCAGGCGACTCTGCCTAATCCTGAGCAACATGTCAAACTGCTACCCACATCACCGCCAAAGCGTCAAACATCGCCACAATATCGACGCTCACCAGAATTTATGCGTCAACAGACTCTGCCCAATCCGGAATCGTTTACCAGCAGCAATTCCCTAACAGTTCAGGCTGCCAACTCGGGATCACAGAATAAATTCCTGCCCATCTCACCGAGGCAGAAACAGAATTTCCTCTTCCCAAATGTCCAGAACCCTCGACAATTTTTATCCCAACAAAATGTGCCAGCCGTGGGCGTGGCTGAGATACCGGTTAGCACAACGGCCGAACACTATTCCAGCAGTCAGAGTGTAAACATCCATCACTCTCGTGACCATTCGAAAATGATCAAGGTTCGTAGTCACAGCAATGAGGAGTACTCCATTACCAAGTCACATCATCCGGAGTCGCGTCGTCTGTTACCCGAAATACCCACCGCTAGTTCGCGCTCTATGAGTCGCTCACCCAGTCGTTTGGTTAGACAGGACTGTCTGAAGGACCAACCGGCTTCGTCAGTTGGTCACGTCCCAGGCGATGGACATACACGCACATTTGGCGAGGCTAAACAACAATTTCATCAATTCCAAAATGTTACCGAAGAAGACGACAATCGTCCCGAGTATGTGGACTATTTTGGAGACAGTACCAGTAGCTTCCTCGAAGTGGATGAGGTGCAGTATGAAAAGAACTACAATAGTGGATTCAGTAGTGAACCTCGTATTATTTACAATGATGGTTCCGATGACGGTAGCTATCAGGGTTATCAGAGGCCTATTGTGCATAGTGCTGAAAATGTGTTGGTACCCGATCAGGGTTATGGCGGCTATACAAATATGGCATTGGGTCAGCATACATTTGGTGCCAATTTAGGGGCAAATGGTGTATTGGGAGGAGCAGCAGCGGCTAGTATTGGAGGTGGTGGTGGTGCACTACCACGTACTCCACTTATGCATAACCGTTTGAGACGACGCCAGTCGAGGGATTTACAGGTGCAACAAGAAGAATTTGCCCAAGTGGCATCGTTGAATGTACAGTCCTCTCAAAGTCCGGGTATGTCACCACCAAATGAGCCGACTTCAACAGATGCGGTGACGGCGGAAAGCAAATCTAGCGAAAGACCAAAACCGGAACAAATGCGTTCAATATCAGAAGATTCGGGAGCAAATAAATCAAATGTACCCAAACCAGTTACACGTCGCTCTCTGTCCCACCCCGAAAAGGAGACCCAGGTAAATGGAATTAAACACTAAGTGTAACTGGGATCAGGTTAATATATACTTTTGTTTTTCTTTTATAGGCAACTAAAAAGGTGGAACCTACCAAAATACCGAGTCCTAAACCATTGGCCGATATTCTCGATAAGTCTAGACCCATGACTAAAATACCAACACCGCGTAGGCGAAATAGTAAAGGGGTCGACGTCGATGAAGGTAGGAAAAATATACCATTGAAGACCATAGAAGTTCATAGATTTTCCTTCTCTTTTCGTACTTTTAACCCATATCAACCACTTTTTGTTCTTTCAGGCGGCATTTCAAAATCCCATTTAAACGAAAGAAAACATTCCGAATTATCTACGAAACCGAATAGAAACCAAAACGATGACAAACAACAACAGCAACAAATGAATGATTACAATCTCGATGCTGGTGGCAATAAACAGCAGCAACAAAACAATATGGAACCAAACAAGGACGATGCAGAACAGCAAAGAAGTAAATCTCCCCGAGGAGGAGAAACACAGGAAGCAAACAATGACACAAAAGATTCGACATCCAATGACAAAACAGAAGATGGCAATGCTCAGCTGACAAAGGTAAGGCAAAGAAGGACGTATAATTGTTGAGTCCTTATAATTGTCGCCTTGTTGCATCTCATTATGCTGAGGTCCTTAGCATTTTATTGTACTACATTTGCATAATGGTTTTTGTAGTTTTGCATTTTGGTTAATGCTCCAAATTTAAGGTCATGTCATTCGTAATGAAGGAACTTGGTGGTCAAATATTTGCATTTTGGGGGGAGAAATGTGTGTGTTTTCAGTTCACTATAAAAATAGACTAGGATTGAAAGTTGTCTAGTATTCAATGGATTTATTTTAACTGGGAAATTTGTCCAATCCTGAAAGTAGGCAACAAATGTTAAAAACATAGAATCACAGTATTCTTCAATATGGGGAAATTGTACATAGCCAACTCTAATATCAACTGGGATAAATAATTTCAAACTCAAATTACCGAAATTGCACTTTAGCAATATTTGAAAAACTGTTACCATATAAAGTTGAGGAATTGTGTTTTATGGGATGGGATGATTTAATACATGTCGAATAATGTCTGAGCACAAGTTCAAACACAATATTCCATTTTTAAATACAAAAAAATTCACATTTTCGTAATGTCCTCACATCTTACATATTACCAAATTTGTCAAATATTCTAGATATTTTTAACTGGTTTGGTATTACTTAGAAATGTACTTGTACTATTCCATTTCAGACCCACACAACCACATTGGGTGAACAGGAAATTCAAAATGCTGTCGAAGCAGCAGCAGTGATATTCAAGAAAGTAGTACTTCAACGTCGTCAGGAAAAGAAAGCAGCTGAGGAAGGTAAGCTTTTCCCTATCACATTTTAAAAATATGTAACATTTCATATGTATTGGGATATTATTAGTTTATATGAAGCAAAAAGACCGTATATGTAAGTATGTGGTGTGCTGTTCTAACAAATGGTCGATGTGTGTGGTGTTGGTATTTCTGTCTCAGTTGAATAATAACGCTACTTCTACATGATTTATTAATTATAAACCATATTTTAAACATTCATTTATTATTATTTTTTTGCATTTAACATATATACAAACATTGTAACAACATTAACATTGGTGTATTTATCTCATCTAAAGAACTGTTTAAAAACCATTGCATACTTTTAGGATGGTATTTTAATTCTAAATGAAATAAAGTCACATTTCGATACCTCTGATTTCATTATAAAAATAATTTAATTTTACTTGTACAAAGCCACGTAGATCCAAAAAACCGAAATATTTTCAAAGATAAACTATATATCCAAATTTTTCTAAATAAAATATTTGGTTTATATATATATATATATATATAGAAGCTCTATCCAAATCTGAACCGATTTCAAAACTTTCACACATTTCAAAACTTTGTAAAATCGGAAGAAAATATATATGGGAGCTATATCTAAATCTGAACCGATTTTCAGGAAACTTAACAGACATCATTTTAGACCTAATTCACTTCGCTATGCCAAATTTCGGGCAAATCAAAAGATACATAGGAACTTTGGTACACCATTTACATTAAATCGGACGAAGATATATATGGGAGCTATATCTAAATCTGAACCGATTTTCAGGAAACTTAACACACATCATTCTAGACCTAATCCATTTCGCTATGCCAAATTTCGGGCAAATCAAAAGATATATAGGGACTTTGGTACACCATTTACCTTAAATCGGACGAGGATATATATAGGAGTTACATCTAAATCTGAACCGATTTTCAGGAAACTTAACACACATCATTCTAGACCTAATTCATTAAATCTGAACCGATTTTCAGAAAACTTAACACACATCATTCTAGACCTAAATTATTACGCTATGCCAAATTTCGTGCTAATCGAAAGATATATAGGGACATTGGTACACCATTTACCTTAAATCAGACGAAGAAATATATGGGAGCTATATCTAAATCTGAACCGATTTTCAGAAAACTTAACACACATCATTCTAGACCTAATTCATTACGCTATGCCAAATTTCGTGCTAATCGAAAGATATATAGGGACATTGGTACACCATTTACCTTAAATCAGACGAAGAAATATATGGGAGCTATATCTAAATCTGAACCGATTTTCAGGAAACTTAACACACATCATTCTAGACCTAATCCATTTCGCTATGCCAAATTTCGGGCAAATAAAAAGATATATAGGGACTTTGGTACACCATTTACCTTAAATCGGACGAAGATATATATAGGAGCTACATCTAAATCTGAACCGATTTTCGGGAAACTTAACACACATCATTCTAGACCTAATTCATTACCCTATGCCAAATTTCGTGCTAATCGAAAGATATATAGGGACATTGGTACACCATTTACTTTAAATCGGACGAAGATATATATGGGAGATATATCTAAATCTGAACCGATTTTTAGGAAACGTAACACACATCATTCTAGACTATTCCAAATTTTGTGCAAATCGAAAGATATATATTGACTTTGGTACACTATTTACCTTAAATCGGACGAAAATATATATGGGAGCTATATCTAAATCTGAACCGATTTTTCCCAATTTCAATAGGGTTCGTCCTTGGGCCAATTAAGTGATCTGTGCCAAATTTCACCCAAATCGAATCATAAATGCGACCTGTACTTTGTTAACAAAAATACATGGACGGACAGACAGACGGACATGCATAAATCGACTCAGAAAGTAATTCTATGCATATTCTCAAAAGGAACCATGGGTCTATCTCGATTATTTTTGCCTGTTACAAACATATGCACAAAGACATAATACCCTGTACCACAGTGTGGTGAAGGGTATAAAAATTGTGTCTTTTCACATTTTATACCCTTCGCCTCACTGTGGTACAGGGTATGATGACTTTGTGCATATGTTTGTAGTCCCTTTTGAGAATATGCATAGAATCACTTTCTGAGTCGACTTAAGCATGTCCGTCCGTCTGTTGAAGTTAAATTCTAAAACAAAGTACAGGTCGAATTAATAATCCGATTTGGATGAAATTTGGTACAGGTCATTTATTTGGCTCAAGGACGAACCCAATTCAAGTTGGTGAAAATCGGGCAAGATTTCGATATAGCACCCATATATATTTTCGTTCGATTTTATGTAAATGATATCACAAAGTCCCTATATATCGAAAATTGGCACAGCATACTGAATTTATGCTAGAATGATGTGTGCCAAGTTTCATGAAAATCGGTTCAGATTTAGATATAGCTCCCATAAATATATTTTTATAGCCTTCACCACACTTTACTACAGCGTATTATGTCTTTGGGCATATGTTTGTAACAGGCAAAAGGAAACGAGACAGACACATTGTTCCTTCTGAGAATATGCATAGAATCATTTTCTAAGTCGATTTATGCATTTCCGCCCATTCAGCGTACTGAATAAAGGGTAGAGTGATGTGTGCCAAGTTTCATGAAAATCGGTTCAGATTTACATATATCTCCCATATATAGATCCATCAGATTTTAAGTAAATGTGGCTCAAAGTTAGGCCAATTGTCCCAACATTTTACACAACGTACTGAAGTTGGTATAGCCTAACGTTTGTTAAGTTCAGTTAAAATCTATTCAGGGTTAGATATGGCTCTCACAGTTTTGTCAGATTTTAAGTAAATGGGGCACCAAAGGCCCAAAGTTAGCCCGATTGGCACAACATTTTGCATATGTATTTTTGACCGAATAATCAACGGATGTACGATTGAGATTTACTCTCCAAAATGAAAAAAATTAGTAAAGTTTGCCGAATAACATGTTTGTGGAGTTTATTTGTGTTTCGATTCACATATTATAGTTCATCCAATTTCATCCAAAATAGTCCTTCAAAAATGCGACGTCTGCTGGGATGCATCTGTTGAATATACCCAAAGTGGTGAAGGGTATCATATAGTCGGCCTCATTGGACTTTACTACTTTCCTTACTGGTTTGAATATGGGTATGGATAGCACCCGTATATATTTCGTCCGATTTAATCTAATCGGCAACATTTGCTTTTGAAATGCCCATTAATAACTCTGTCGACTTTTTCAAAGTTTTATTCACATTTTATTACAAACATATCTGGTTAACAGATTCACAAAATAAGTTTCGTTGAATTTATAAAAAGTTACTAAATCTTAAATTAACAATCATTTTTATTTATAGAATTATCGAAACCGATATTGTTCAATATGAAACACCAATATAAATTATCTACTTACTGTAATTAACCTAATTATTTAATTTAATGCGATTATATACAATGTTTATACTTCTCGAGTGCCAATTTCACATCACAAAAGTGCAACACCAAACTTTTTGTGCAATTTAATGAGGAAAATTGATGCAATTACCCGAAAACCATTTTATGTGGTCGTTGTTGCTTCCTTGCATCCTTTGAACGACAGCAGCTACGAACTTTTGGCCCAATTTGCAAGAACAAGGATTATTTTACATAATTAACTGAGATTATAAAGTTGATTGAATGAAGGCAACATAAATGCTGTTTGCTGCAAGCAGCGATGTACAATCTCATGCGTTGACATGGCATTAACACATATCTTAGATAACACATTTGAGCAGGCACGTTACTGCGAAAGGATAATGAATATGCGCACATTATCTTAAAATTATGTGTTGTCGAAATGACGTCTTACTTGCGTTAAGAGTAAATTCATAAATATCGAATAATGGTGCATTTGAAGCGCGTACATACAAACGAATTGTTAGGGAAATCCGAAGGTTTGGATTTAAAATTTGTAATACCAGCCTATGTTGTAGGATATAAATACATATTTTAAACTGTACAAGGGTTCATAATTTAGTTTATGATTTAATCTCATTAACTTGTTGTGAGTCCATATGTGCCTGTCATCTCACTCACACAGATTTACCTGAACGATGGTGATTAACTTAGTCATTGAAAGATGACCGAATTAAAGAGAAATACACATGTATATATCGATTGCTAAAGCAAAAGGTCAACAAATACGTTTTGTTGTTGTAAGATTTCTTTCAACTCTTTCGTTAAATATCTACCTGTAAAGGTTAATAAATGGATTTTCTGGATTTCTTAATGTTACAGAGAAATGAAACGTTGCAGATTGCAGGATAACAAATTTCTCTATACTTAATTCGAAGTTTTATTGTTTTGAATTTGTTACAAATTATTTTATAAAATATTAAATAAGCTCCTAGAATTGCCATGAACTATTTATATTAGATTTTGTAGGTGCACTTTTCATATTTCTTAATAAAATACATCCCACACTGTACCAAATAATTTTCAACATTACTAAATATGCAAAATTTATTTTGTGTCATTACAAACAATTACCCCCAGGGACCCGAACTAAAGCATAGATTATTGTCATTAGAAAAATGTACAAAGATCAACAATTGTATTTGGCTTGCATATTATATACGAATATGTATGTATGTATATGTAGAGCAATGAAATAAAATGTTGCCACACACATACACACTAACAAAACTAATAACATTTAGAAAGGATTGTGGCAATGCAAAATTCACATATTCATGGCATTCCTTCCAAAGAATTCTCTCAAAAAGGAGACAGCAAATGTTACAACAACCAACAACAAAAGAAGAATTTGAGATTCATCACCAATAAAAAAAAACAGTATTTGATACTTTTGTCGACAAACTATGAATTGAATTGTCCAAATATTTGTTGAACACTCAAAGATATGCTGCTGTAACCACAAAATGCATACCCTTGAGGAAATTTTCAAAATTTAAGTGCGACATTTGCATGAGTTGTGATCACTTTTTGTATTGCAACATTTCATATGAGTTGTTAAAAAATATTGACTTATTTACTTAAATCAGGAATTTAGGTGATATCAGTCTAATTTCAACCGTCTGAGTTATTCTAATTGAAATAAGACAATTAAAACAAGTAAGGAAAGTTCAAAAGTCGTACGGGGCCGACTATATGATACCCTTCACCACTTTGGATACATACAAGAGATGCTAATATATACAATATCCTGTACATAGGACAAACATATACTCTTTAGATGACCGTTGAAATGGACTCGAGCGAAACTAAATGTGTGATCTACATAGATATTTGAACCTAAAAACCCCATACATATACCATTCTGAAATCTATGAAAAATTATGTATCAATCGAATTATTTTGTGTACCATTTGTATGAAATCGAACAAAATAATGTATGTGGAGCTATATGTAAATATGGACCTAATTGAGCAACCGTAGACTATACCTTTTGGTATGCTGCAGACGTAGGCTCCTCGGTACCTATCTCAATATGTTGTGCAAAATTTTGTATCAATCGGACATCCTTGGGGGTTTGGTGCACGATTTACCAAAAAAATCGATATAGGAGAGATACATCCAAATCTGAAACGATTTTCACAAAACTTCGCACACATCAAACTGAACCTAATCTAGTACGATGCGCAAAATGTTGTCTCAATCTAAAAAAATATTGGAAGTTTGGTGACTCATTTACCTAAAATCGGACGAAACTATGTACGGGATTTCAACAACGATTTCGCATTTATCTATCAGTACCTACACTCAGTACACTGTGCAAAATTTTGTCTCAATCGGACTAATATTGGCAGCATGGTGCTCCATAAACATCTGACGAGCTATATCTAAATCTGAACTGAATTTCAATATGGTTCGACCTTGGGCCATAAGTGCGACCTGTTCTTTGCTCCCAAAAATACATGCATGGACAGATGGATGGTGGATTTGTAGATCTATAATGTGATATTTCAAGCTCGTGGATGGTAAAAGACTTCTTCGCAGAAAAAGTACAGGACATCACATATTCCCCTGAAGTGGTTGTAATCTTTTTCACTACAATTTAACAATTTAATTCAACTACAATTTAATTCAAACCTGCACTAATTCAAGAATATTCCTAAAAATGTTAAAGTTAAAATCTCAACAATTCTTGAAGACATAGCCGATGAATAGTGTCATCGGCTATATCTTCAGCCGTGGAAAGAAGGGCTTTTCATTAATTACAAAAAATACCTACAAAACAACATCTATGTTAAAAATTGACAATATCGCCTATATATGTATATATTTTTTTAATGTGTATTACAGAGCAAATAAATATCAAACCCAAAATCTACATTCATGGAAAAATATATTTTGTTTGTTTGCATTGTCATAAAAAATAATGTCAAATGTAAACGATACGTAAAATTAAACATTATTTTAATTTTATTTCAAACATGATGAAAATATTAGGGACCATCATCATCATTGCACAAAAGCAATTTAACACAAACACACACACACACACCTGAAATATGAAGCCTTTGTGGGAATGGTAAAATTTCCCAACATTTAAGCCATTTACCGCAGGTTTCCTATATGCAGGATATACAAATGTGTAAACAGCGACGACAACAACAACGACCACATCATGAACAACAAATATTTGTTGAAAATTCAGAGATTCCCTTTGGTTGGGTATCAGTATAACCTGACCGTGTTAAGTCCTTTACGACCGGGGAGAGTCATTAAAATGTTTGCACGTTTTTTTTTTCTCAATTTTTTGAAATTTTATGACTTTAAACGTGCGTTAGTGTGTGTGTGTCTTCAATGGAAATCCGAAATGGGTTTTCATTTTCATATCAACGAAATGTGTAAAGATAATGATTGTTTCTCAACAGGTTTATTTTAATATACACGGAAAAAAATTATGCTTGAGTTTGGACAGAGCCTCATAAAATAGTTCCTGGATTTTTTTTTTAACAAAGATCCAAAAAATTTAAAAATAGTGCGCCCAGAGCGCCCTATCAACTTAAGAAAAAAATATACATATGTATTTTTTAAAAATTTAAAATGTGTAATTAATTTCTAAAAACATATAACCAATTAAGCAACTGGTCGAACTTGCAACATTCTAGTGTGTAACTTCTTCCTATAAAATCTTATTAATTCTATAGCGAATTCTATTAGCTGTAGTAATTACATAAATTTATTTGAGGTGTATATAATTAAAGTTGTGACACATAAAACAATAAAATTCAACTTTTTCTAATTAATTGGAATCATTTATAGGTATTTTTCTTATAGTGATATTATTTTAAGATTATTTAAGGATAATTATAAATTAGCATATTAGAAATTGTGTATTCTAATCGTTATATGCAAAAATACAAAAATATATTTGAATTCTCATACGATCACTGATCACCTGTTTGAAAAAAAATTCTCAAAACTTTCGTTTTCATTCTCATACAAGTATGGTGTTTGGCAACTCTACTATCTATCTCTCTCCCTATTCATATCTCATAGAACTGCATAAATTCATTAATAATAAAAAAATAACAAATCGTAGAAAGCAACAACAATAACAATATCGAAAACCTTTCATTACGGATTTAGTGGGCGTAATTGTTGTGCGATAATGGTTCGTGGTCTATGGTTTCGGTGTATTTATTTATGTATTTTTTATTACAAATTCTTAACAAAATACGTGGAACGTGGTGGAGTGTGTGTGTCTGTGCGTTTCTTATCACCCGTGCGCAGCACGATATCTTAACAATAACAAAATTCATACTAACCCGTTTCTCAAGAGAGAATCAAGGCATTGCTACTTACTATTTGTGTCATCGCCGATAATATGTATGGTGTTGGTTGGTAAAGGTTCCAGAAAAAATCGAAAGAATCAAAGAGGATTTCATAACTCTAATCGTGTCACAACGAATGTGTCCACCTATCTATTGCTTCCAGATGCTTACGACACCATGGAAACATCATCGGAAATGGAATTCAAATCGATTACCATCAATCATGCCCAATATAATATGGAAGCCGATGAGTTTAAATTGGTTTTCATCAATTCGGCCGATTCATCATCGTGTCGCGATGAAGATGAATTTGAGGATAGCAGTTCGACGACATCGACTTCGTCGACCCACAACTGTAGTAGCATAGCCATAGATGATTGCGATTGGGATTATTTTGAACCGTCGATGATCAGTACCAGTATTACAAAACATGTCCTGTATTCGCCGTGTGGTTCGCCACTGGTGACACGTCGCAGACATTCACGTGATTTAAAATCCAGTGATAGTACTGCCTCTCCCATGGAATCACCGCTAATGTATCGCAAACAGTTGTTGTTTTGCCCACGTGTCAGGGAAAGCGATACAGGAACCGACGAAGAACTCCTTATGCAAGGTGAAAGCTCCAGCTCTGATGGCTATCTGACGCGATCATCAACATCTGCAGCCCGTACCCAACATCAAATGAGCATGAAAACACGTATTAAGACACGATTCTTAAGCAAGGAACAACATCATCAGAAACACCATCGCCTTAGTTCACCACGAAATAGCCAAATGACCGATGCCTGCAGCTGTGGCGCTGCAAAAAGCAATCAGTCCAGAAATGAAACGGTTCAGCAAAGTCCTACGACAATGCAACCTCAATATGTGCCAATACCGGTGCCGGTACCCATACCGGTTCCCATGTCAGCCTATCCGTATTGGAATGCCAATGAATTGGCACCGCAAATTCCACCTGGCCTACTAGCCGAAGACACCGACCAAAAGGATCTGTGTGCCTCACTACAAAAACTATGGTGTTCGGCACAAAATAACCTACCCAATCCTAATGTGGTGAGTACGAACAATTTGCAGGCGGCAGCAGCCGCCGCCGTGGCAGCTACCTATCAAAAACTGGCAGGTCACGGCAGTGGTGGCAAAGGTGTTGCAGGCTTTAAGTCATCCGCACCCGATTTAAGTTCATCCACCTACTCACTGGTGGGTATGACACAATCGCACTGTTCCACCTCTTCCGGCTATGGAACGAACACCACAACCGGTGGCAGCTTGGAAACCTTATTGAATGTTGAAAAGCTTACAGCTGCTGGTGCAAATGGCCAACACCACAACCACCACCACCAGCTGAACAACCACCATCGTTCTCAATCGACTGATAAAACATATGTTGTTGGTAAACGCCATTCACTACTATCTATGGCACCACCACCACTAGCACAACAACACATGGACGAAGACCAAAATAACCACCACCAGCAGCACCACGAATACTACGATGGATACCAAAGTCTGACAGTCCAACATGAATGCGGTGATGGTATCGATGACTCTGGCCTCAAGTGTATGCCAGCTCTGAATTGCTCAGCATTGTCAGTTGACGATATACCTTCGTTGATTTCAAGTCGTGTTTCAGCTCCAGACGTGACGGAACAAACAAACGGTAGCGACGACGATCAAACCCTTTCGGACACCACCCAAAACGCCGTTCAACGCGAATTCGGTCAATTCGGTGACAAAATATCGGTAATTAGTGAAGTGAGCGAGGTCCACCCGGAGTCGGGCGCCAATAGAAATATAAATTGTGAAACTGAAGTTGCAAAAATTAGTGCAACTTTTGTGAATGAAATTGGGCAGACAACGGCGAATAGGCAAATTTTTGCAAACAAACCCGAACAAATCGTTGTTGATTTAGAAGTAGAGAAGAAACAAGTTTACGGCCCAACAAAAACTACTACTACTACCACTGCTAACAATAATAACAACAATAATAGTAGTTGTAGTACCACCACCACGACCAACAACAACAACTGCGGCAAAGACCAAAAAATACTCACCACAGCTAACAAGGCAATAATAGCTTTGGCCAATACAGAGAGCATTGAGAGTCACAAACAGCTGTTGTTGTTGTCGTCGTCGAACAAAACAAACGATGAAAAGAGCGAATCCACAACAACAACAACCGCACTACCCTCTGAGGCAGGAGGAACTTTCGACAATGAAACACAAACATTGCTCTCTCATGATCCGAAACGGAAACGAGGTGGCAATGAAAAACCCAATAATGACGTTTCCGCTAACACCGAGCAAAACAAACCATCGTCGTCATCTGTCTGTCGTCGTAATGACGTTTTGTGTAACCGAGAGAATTATGAAAAAGCTGTAAAGCCGGTAAAAACTTGTTCCACAGCCACTGTCGACCACAACATCAAATCTATTTGCACAGATGGTTTGGTGGCAACACTGAGCCAGAGTTACAGCACTGCAGTTGCAACAACAAATGCAAAACCACCGCCGCCGCCGCCGTCCTCATCATCATCATCAAGTCAAGCTTTTAAAGAAAATGTGAAAAATCCCATAACAAAGCCAGTAACAAAAACAAAATCAACAGCAACAACAACAACATCAACCCCAACTGTGGTAAACACAACGAATTTTGTACAACCGGCCATAGTTGTTGGAAAATCAACGAACACAACGGTAGTGCTGCCAACACGAGAAGACCTAGCAGCGGAGGTGGTCACAACAAAATCAATATCTGAGGACAGGAATTTATCTACAACAAAGACAGCAACAACAGCAAATAAATATAAAAACATGATAAAATTGAGAGATAAGCCAGCCGAAAACAAAGCAAATTCCTCCGATGGTGGCTATTTGCAAAGTGAACGCCACGAACTTTCAAATTCATCTGCTTCCGATTCCAGCGATAATTCGGAGGCCTCATCGACATCCCACAATGAAGATGCCGAAGAGAATCATTCAAAGAAGTCCACGAAAAAGAAACGCACTGCAAAACGCATTCAAAGAAGTTATAACATTATAGCCGATTATGAGGAGGGGCAGGAGGTCGAGGAAGAGGCTTCCGAGACAAGTGACAAGTCATCCTCTTCAGAGGATAAATCAAAAAGTGATAGTGACAATGAAATCAGTTCCCAGTCCAGTTCCGAATCGGTAGATACCGATGATACCGGTAATGTTGCCGATCGGAGGCCGCGCAAAAAACATTTCTCCAAGGTCTTTGTCGTAAATAGACGATCGCGTAATAATCGCAACCTCGTTACGGGTAGTTGTAGTAGTGCCTCGTGTACAGAATCCTCGTCGGATGCCAATCTGGAGGATTCCTCGGATAACGACACCGACACCGAAAGAACCCACTGCGGTGTGGTGTTGCGCTGTATCAAACTGCTCAACGACGACGACCAGGGCTCGGAATGCGAAATCAAAGAAATACGCGATTCGTTGCATGAAAGTGATAGTTGTAGCGATTCCAGTGTACACGATTGTAAACGTGATGCCGACGACGATCTGCTGATGTATGGAGAAGGCGATGGTGCCGCCACAGCAAGATCTGGAATGGCTGATGACGACAACGACAATGATGACGAAAGTGAATGTGTCAATGAACAGAGTTCTAGCTCAGATTTGGCCAATTGCATTTTTGTTGTTGGCGGCCAAACAGACGATGATAATGGCGGTGTCGTACTGCAGGCAATACGTACACTGGAACCATTACCAGCACCTGCACCACCTGCCGAACATTATCACCACCCTGATGATAATGATCATGGTGGCGGCGGCGGTGCTGGAGAAGGAGGAGGTGTTGGCATAGTTAGCAAGAAAGTGGCAACAAACAATAGTGAAAATCATCATTGGCAGCCCCCAAGAGCAGCAGCAACAACAACTACAACTGCTGTCGATGCAAGTGGAGCAATTAAAATCTCGCATGATGCGCATATATGGACGAATGCATCAGTGATTACGGCCATGGATAATTCCAACGTCATTTCCAATGCTGAGGATGTGTGCGAGGAACTGCATAGCATTTCCAATGATGTAAATCGTTTATTGGCCTTAACCAAACAGAATTCAGAGTTGGAAATCAAATTGCAGAAGCTGAAGAGCGTTGTTAAAGAAATCAATCAGGATCATTTAACAACAGAAACCACAACAACACCAACTGCAACAACAACAGAATATAAATCCAATGACAAATTACAGCCTGAAAGTGAAGGCATTGCAAAGGTTTCCTCTGTCCGAAATGGTGAACAGAAACAACAGGAAGAGATGGGGGATGGGGAGGAGGTCTTTTGCCAAGCCGTAGAGGCCTTAGAGGAAAAATTGCTGAATATGCGTTCCATGGTGGTGGTGGCTGCGGCGGCGTCGGCTGGCGAAACAACAACTAAAAATAAACCCAAAACCGGTAATGCAACACTTATGACCAAAGAAAAACCAAGACAAAATCCAGAACAAAACGACAACAGCAAAATCCAGCAGCTAGATGACGACAACACTGAAAACCTAGACAAGAAATGTGAGAAGGAAAAAGTGGAAATACCTGTCAAATGGAATAGCAACAACAACATCAGCTCCGAAGATAAATTACTACTACAACAAACAGTTACAACCCCAGCAGCAACAACAAGAAATGACCATTTGGATAGTTCTACTACTGCCACTACTATGCTGGATGTACACGATACGTGTTCTGCTTCTTCTTCTGCCGTTCCCTCTTTGGTTAGTCAACGTGACAACGAAGATTTCAAAGTTAACTACGTGCATTACGATAATGACAATGCCAACAATCACGATGATGATGTTGATGATGAGGAGAATGATAATCATGCAATGGAAGAGGATTGTGACGCACATGCCGACGAAAATGTATGTGAAGCGAAGAAAAACCAAAACAAACCAACACCACAACGTGATACCTGTAAACTCAATGCAGAACAGGTACAGGTTAGACAACAGCCAGCTGGTGGTATCGCCAGCACCAGCACAACGGTAGCTCATGAATTAAGCCATAAACAACAAAGCGATGGGGAATGGGAAGAACACAACGACGAAGAAGAACCAGAACCCGTAAGCGGAGAAGAACAAGAATCCAACCAAGCGTGCAAAACAAATGAAATGCTACGCGACTGTTATTATGTTACCCTACACCATAACCACCAGCAGCAGCAACAGCATAGTACGCCGCCCGTTTCCAGCAATTTCACAGAATATTTTATGGACTCATTAGAGACGCCTACCAATACCACGATTAACACTAGTACAACAACTACTGCTGCCGCTAATCTACCATCATCACCTCGAACAGGTAGTATGATCGGAGAGCCAATAGAGCACAAACAGGTACTCGCTCCCAGAGAACCACTGTTGTTTACCTCTGAGGTGAGCACACCGAAAATGTGCTCAGAGATCACTATGCCTTCGTTGGATAATGTCACGACGACGATAATGCGCGCAGAGACTCTGGCTCTGCAAGCAACAGTTGAAAATGAAATTTTAAGCGAGAAAGACGGTAGAAGTTACGATCGGTTTGTTGACATCGAATACGAACAATTCCACCACAAAAACAACAACAATAGCAAAATCTTTGGTGCGATACGCAAAACAAAAGAGAAAAAATCCACGTTTATCGATAGCCGCGGTAGTGAGGAGGAAGCACCCCCCAGTACAACATTTGGCTATTTTCGTAAACAACAAATGAACGACGAAGACGACAACAACGAATTGGGCCACAATAAAAATAAAGATAACAACGAATATTATTACCACCACCTCCAACAACAACAGCGGCAATACCAGCAACCAGATACCAAGGAAGTATGCGAAAATAACAACCTCAATAGCTTTGACCACAACATAGACGCCGAAGAGTACGCTGACGTCGTCGACGACGACGACGAAGAGGACGTATTCGGCTTCAATAGCATTAAAAATACCACCAAAACTCTCAGATCGACAATCAAGAACACGGCCAATGATCTAGATGCGGCTGGTGGCGCAACCAGTGCAAGTGATTTGTATCGCGATACGCGAACGGGTAGACCCACAACGACAGTATTAGCCTCGACCGCATTAACACCACCCGCGAAAGCGACCAAATATCGCAGCACCCATGTAAACAATTCGCCAAATACCCTCTCGGCCAAGTATCGCAGTCTGATAATGATTACGAAAGATCAACAAGACGAAGAGCAAAACAAAAGTGCAAATTTTGCCAGCCGTTCAATAAAAGTCGCACCAAATGTCGCGGCGACACGTGTCGGTGAAGATAACGGCAACATTAGTGAAAAAAGTGAAGTGCTAAAGCAAATGTCAAATAGAATCACGCCAAGTGATATCGATATCGACCAAGATAACAACAACACACAAATAAATAATAACAAAAGTGATAATCTGAATGAGTCATCGGTATTGGGTAATTACCAACAATCTATGCAAGAAAATCAAAAGCAACAACAACAACCACTGCAATCTGACCACAATCAGAATAAAAATGTTAAAAGTGAAGTGTTAGTGCCTGCGTCCGCGTTCGCGTTGACGTCCACGTCGCCTTCGTCATCGGTCGATTTACTTAAAGATCAGCACATCATCGCCAATGATGACGCTGAGCGCGATTTCGATTCGTACGACTCGAATGCCAATGTTTTTTCGATGACAAATAGCGCGGATCGTGATGAGAATATTTTGGCAGGATTATCACCAATTAAGAAAACCGTTTGTCTTGAAGACGGCTTGGCTGATGACGACTCATGGGTCGAGGAATTGAGCGAACATGGTGAGGAAGTTGGAACAGAATTGAAAGTGCCCGAGGAACAAGAAGCAGAAGAGGAGGACGATGATGAAGATGATACTACACCCACGGCCACAGATTCGGAAGATGGCGATGATCCCCATTCGATGGGTATGTTTATGGATCGGGAGGAGGAGTTGCGAGGCTACCATCGTACCGCAATCGATTTCACCCTACACACCATTGTCGAGGAGAGTTGTGAGGAAAGTGAAGTGGCATCGCTTAGAAGTCACACGGATGAAGATGATTTAGACGATCTGGAACGTAAACGGCAGAAAACTCTCCAACATCATCATCGTCTCTCTGCCTCAGAGCTGGAGAAATATTTCTTCTTTGGTCTGGGTGATGGCACCGTGATGAATTCCATTGATACACGTGGTGAAGACACGGCCTCCGATGTCAGCAGTGTTTACTCAGAGGGCCTAGACTCCTTGGGTGTACCCGATGAACCTGTCAATGATGTTGGACAGGCTGCTGATCTGGCCTCCTCCCGTCTGGAGAAATACTTCCTCTCCGGTTTTATGGGTTTCAATGCCAACGAAAAGAATGACTCCGATGAAAGTGGCAGTGTTGGTAGTGACAGTGAAGGTCATCCAAGTCCAAGTCAAAGAAGAAAACGTCTGTGGCGTGCTCGCACTACACCAAGATCTCACAACTCTTCCCTGGATAATCTACTTATGGACTCGCAATCTAATGAGATGCTTGAAAATACTCTAATGCCCTCCAACAACAGTCAGGACATGATCGACTCTTCGGAATCCGAAGCCTGTGATGAAACTGTTCTACACAATAGTAGTGCCAGTGAAAGAACTTCAGAGGGTACTGACACCATGAAACGCAAGAAACAACTGAGAAAACGCCACGACTCCTTGGATGAGAAGAAATTACAGGATCCCAATCTCGGTACAGAGGACAGCAGCAAAGCAACTGCCTCCAACATCGAATGTCGTACACCCACCCCTGGTTCCATGCAAAATGCTCAATCAAAGAAACAGCAACATCACAGTAGGGACAGTGGTTTTGTTGGCAGCAATGATGATTTGCTGAAATCTCCAGAAAGTGAAAATTCTCCCGCATACGGGGTTCGTAACAAGTCGCCCAGTACACTGGAACAAATAACAGAAGTAAATGAAAAGATTGTCGCACCCATACCCACAGTTCGCCTCAGTGTGGCAAATGACAATAACAATGCTTCCGCACCATCCGACAGTGGTAGCAAAAAACTTAACATGCCATCTGCGACATCCGCCGCCTCCTCTACATCATCCTGTAATTTAGTACGCAAAGATAGTTTCAACAATTGGAGTTCTGACGAGGAAACCAATCTGATGATGAGTAAAATGCGTCAGTTCTTCAAGACCCTCGTCGTGGCCACGGCGAATGCCCAACAACAGAACTCGGCCAGTAATTCCAAATCGACAACCCCCAATCAGACTACACCCATATCGGTGCGTCGTATGAAATCTCGACCAGCCACTCTGGCCTATTTTGAAAACGAGTTGACGCGTCTTATGAAAACGGTGCCGGGCATAAATGATGAACAGGTGCGCGAAATCGTCGAATACTTGAGTAGTGAAGATACTTGGTCCGATTCGTACGACTCGTCCGACTACACCAGCTCCGATTTGGAGGGCAGTAGTCAGCGAAGAAGTGAACTGAAACAACAGATATCCGCCAGTTGTCAACAAATCATCAACAAGTTTGAGGTGGACGAAGAAGGAGATCGTGGTGATGGTGGTCTGTTGGACGATGTCAGAACAGTAAATCCCGATACAGCCCTGGTGTATCAAAAACTCGTGGCTTCCATTTCAAAAATGGCCATTGAAAATCCATCCACATCGTCCGGCAATGTTGTTATGGATCAACCCAAAGCACCTGTTCCGACGACGGAAAGTGTTTTGGGTGGTGGTAGCACACGATTAGGAGCAATGGAAGAGGATCGCATCTCAACTGGCAGTACACGAAGCGCCGAAAGATCTCCTCAGCTATTTGCCCGAGTTATGCAACACATTGGCACACGCTTGGTTGCTCTGATGCACGAAGTGAGCAGCGGCAATGATACACACGGTACCAACTCCCCCATGCCAATGCAGCGACACAACCAACACAAGCGTCTGCAGGCAAAAATATCCGCTACCACCACCGAAGATGAAGAAGACACCCCAACCGAAGATAGGTCCACTAGCAACGCTAGAACGTCGCAGTATTTGCATCCATCACATGCTTATGCTCAACAACAACAGCAACTCTACTCCAGCACATCGTCACGAACGGTTGGCTATCCACAGGACGATGCCTACAATTTGGCACGTAGCAAATCACACGACCTGTTGCTTGACTCAGCCTCTTCCTCGCTGACAGCAGCAAGTACCAACAGCACGGGCAGCAGCGGTGGCGGCAGCAATGCAGCACAGCACACTACAGCCCACAACCGACCACATCACCATCAGTCCAGCAGCGGCGTTAGCGATACCGCCGGCGAGGAGTGTGGCGTGGCCAGTGACTACGAGCGCTTTTCATGGCGCGGCAGTTTTGAGTCGGCATTACTGGCTAATGGCGATTCCAGAACTAAACTATCTCAACTCGACCGTGACAACTCATCGTCTGCGTCCGCTTTGGCCGTTGCAAAGCGTCGTTCTGCAGGTGACCTGTTGTTCAATCATAAAAGTCTGAGTCGTGAGCAATTAGATCGTGTGCGTTCCTGTGGCAGTATCGGAGGTGGCGACGAACATCATCATGTTCTCGAGTCATCGCCAACGAAACCATGGCTGTCGAATTCCAATGATTCGAAGGATGCCAGACGTTCCAGCGTTCCGGATGCCATTTACGAAACCGATTCTTCATCTTCGGATGATTGTGAACCGTTTGCGGGTACCCGCTCCACGTTGCCACGCAGTCTCATTGGCGTGGCACAAATGTCGACAACGAACTCATTGCCTCGCCTACCAACCACCAATACGGCAGCAGCAAGTGCGGGTGGCACCGTCACCAGCAGCTGCAGTACATCGTTCATAAGTCAGCTGGGTGCGCCGACCTCAATAGCAAGTTCAACATCAGCACTGCCCTCAGGTGTGTCAGCAACATCGACCCCCATTTCTTCGAAATCGCAGAACTCGTTAAATTTCACGCCCACCAATGCCGGCAATAACAGCAACAACAGTAATAGTGCCAAGAGTGCACGCTATCGTCCGGCTGGCCTAAAATCGCACACAAATTTCAGTTCAATTAATGTTAAGAAATGTACGCAGGCACATGCCCAACAGTTGCAGCAATTCTTTAATCCAAAGCGTGATGCACGGAAACGTTTAAATATGTCCATGGGTGAGCAAATGTTTTTTGTTTTTATTTTTTCTTCTTTTTTTAATATTAGTTTTTAAGTTGAGGGTGGGTTTGCTGTTAATTTATTTTTGGCCGTTTTTTTTTTTTTTTGTTAATGATTTTTTGTGGCCATTTATGTTGAGAAGGGCGATTTTTGTTTCGGACGGAAAGCAATGTTTAGGTGTGTCCAGCCAAAATTACCCAAAGGTATATGACCAAAAATGCTGCTAACGCACAATTGAAATTAATATTTACTCAGCTAATGCACTTTATGGATATCAGCTAAGTGTGTGTGTGTGTGTATGACGACTTTTGGGAAATCAACACTTCCCATTTGCTTCTAGTTATGAAGTTGCGTTTTTATGGAAATGCTAAACAAAATTAATTATTTAATTGAGTGATACCAAAAAATAGTTTTTTTCATTTAGTTTTCATATATTTTATGAAATTCTGCATGAATGCCAAAAATAGATCATCATTTAAATGTGATTGCTAAGTATTGAAATCAGATTGTTGTTCAGATGCGAGTATAACAATGTTGCTGGTCAAAACCGATACAATGAATATCGCATTGATCACGTTTTATTTATAAACATATAAACTGGTTTATTTCGAATCGCATCATATGGGTCAAATCTATTTATTGTCTATTGTTCAAATTATTAATTTTATATGAATTAAAAGTTGAAGCAAAAAAGTTATAATTTTGAAAAAAATGCGAAATGTTTTTCGTATTTTCAAGTTTTGGTTTACATTCTTCCACATAATATAAAAAATTGGATAATATCAAAGTCGAACGATATGTACATTTCGTTCATCAGTAGTTACAAGAGATATATTCCAATATAACTCTGAGATGAATATAAAAATTAAACCTTTGTGATAATCCAATCCAATTATAATCCAAAATACCAAATTTTACTTTATTGCGTAAAAACGTGTCCAAAATCCTAAAAATAAAGAAATTTTTGAGCCGTGATATGGAGCCCGTGTAGACAATTTTTTAAAGTGTATTATATGCGGTCTATGAACTTGACATGGCTGTAGGCAACTCTATTCAAAATTTCATATGGTCATAGAATTTTACCCCGATCAAAAATATATATACTTTATAGGTTCGGATGAGTTACAAACGGAGTGACAAAATTAATATTCCTTCCATACTATTTCATTTAGTAGAATCTGACAGGGTCTGCCACGAATATATTGAGATTGAAGATTATAAAGCCACTACGTTATGAAAAACTTGTAGTTGTCTTTTAATAATCACTGATCAATAGCGATTGGAAGGCATGTTGGGGGTGCACAACCATAACCACATTCGGCTGGAAAATGCAAATAAAATGCAAATAAACCTGTCTTTTTTCAAAAACTTCCCGATCTTATTGATCTGCCCTCGTATTATTAGTCCAAAAAATCCCATATTTTCCATAGTAGCTAATCATTCATAATAGAAATCAGTGTTACAAATGGTATTTAGATATCTTCCAGCTAAATTCTGAAGAAACACATTTTGAAATTTTTCATTTCGTTACTATACGCTAGTAGAGAAGAAGAAACCATTAAATTTCTAATTTCAAAGCATTTAAAGAACACACACACGCACACACAGAGACACAAACTCATCAAAAATAAACACATTAACGCTTCTCGTCATACGTGAGTAGAGTTTAGTTTCTGCCGCTGCTTCTGGCCAATAACAATGACGACGACGTCGGCAACTTGACCACAAATGTTGAAAGCAATACTTGGAAATTCCGCTCAGGCCAAAAATTTTTTCAATGGTCAATAAAGTGTCTTAGCGTCGAACTCTCTTACAGCTGATGTTAAATGTGAGCTAGTTTACAAATATTTTTTTGAGAAATGAGAAAAATAAGATAAACAAGAACAACCATTAACAACTCGTGGACGGACGGACGGACGGCTGGACAACAAATACGCACCTTAACTGTGTAACAACATTTTATTTTGAACAAAAAGAGCAAAATTTACACCATGTGCAGAGCCAGAAAAAATAAGCGGACTCTGGTCAATGAAAGAAAAACACAGAGATTACAACTAACCCCCAGGTGTAAACAAACACAATCACAAACGAAAAAATATATATCTCTGTGTGTGTTTGTAAAATGTTTGAACTCACAAAGGTGTGACTTGTACACACAATTGCTTTGCTAGTTGGTAGTAGATCTGGCTCTGGGACTAACTGACCGAAAACATAAGAATATAATCAACTTTAAAAGACCTAAAAACAACAACAACAACAACAAGAACAGCAAATAAAAACAACAAAATAAAGAAAATAAAAGCAAACAATCAAGGTCAATTAACTGTTGACCATATTAAGCGGATTTACTTTGTCAGTTTGAATGGAGTTATGATGTAGCCTCTACAACTCACCCAAAGAATTCGCAAATATATCTGAGGAATTTGTAGTAGGTACTTCAAATACACAGTAATAATATTTGAAGTATATTATTATGTTAGTCATAGGATTGATATCGATATTTTTAATTGAGCAAAAAACTACCATCCTGTTTTTGTAAGATTCCAAACGAACGAATTCGAGTGACTTACGACCAAACCTTTATTTTATAAATGTTTCCTGATTCAAAGCAAAAATAAATGACATATTTTTCAAAACCAAGGAGTTTGGTCGTATAATTGAATATTTTTCATAATTGAATATTTATTTCGAGTTTCATAACACTTTTGAAAATGTGAGAAAACAAATAGAAACCAGATACATATTCATTGTTTCAACTGAGATGCTTTTCGAAAATTGTTGTTCGATATAGTGTCATGTGGGGATATAGTGTTGATTAACTGTCCCCACTAACTTTTCAGAATTTTGTATCCCAAGGAACATGGAAAGTGACACCTTCTGAAGTCATGTCAACCCCAAATTGTTTCAATGTGGGCCCACGTTTTGGTGTTGTACCGATTTTAAATATTTCGTCTATTTTTTGGCTTTCAGGTTTTTGACAAATTATAAATATCGTCCACAGATATAATCAAATTTTATTGTGTCTGGTTTATATATATATATATATATATATATATATGACTTTCCAGTACGGACTTGAAAATACAAATTTACTTCAGTTGTGTTGTGTACTTCACCACGATCGAAAAACATCTGCAAAAAATTAAATAATTTGACCAAATTTCGAAGTCGGTCACCGACGTGCGTTAACACCAATTTTTGTCGTAATTTTCACTTCTGTTTTTTCCTGCATCGCCATCTTACTTGGTTAGTTGACGTTGTGTCCCTATGTAAGGTTATTTCGTCTTAGTTTTTATACCCCCAGCCTTTTGGCTAATGAGGGTATATAAACTTTATTATATTTTGTATATGATCGGCAAAAATGTGCTTTTGCGTCACAAGCCGGATTTCATCCATTTTTCAAATCGATTTTATCCACTTGGTCATTCAAATGATCTGCTGTAGAGACCAGTGTGATGTTATAGTGCCAGTGACACAAAATGTTGGTTTATGTGTGAAAAAGTCGAAACCAATCAAATCAGTCAATTCGATGCAGCTTTCCAGAATTGGGAATCTCCAAGACCACTTTATGACCAATTTTGTTATGTGAAAAATTGGTGAACATATTGGTACAGTTGTACCGGAATTTTGAGAATTTAGAACATATTTCCAACCGAACTGCCTGTATGTTATGTTTTCCAACCTAATGGCTGTAATTGTATACTTTGGCTTCTCATGTTGGTCTATGATTAGCCCCCAATTGTTGGTATTATGATATTTTTGCGATTTAGAAACAATTTCTAAATAGCTGCAATTTAGCATTTATAATGCCCGGTTGGTTACAAAATAACGCTCCCAATCCGCCTTTGAACTTATTAATTCGCAAAGAGTAAAATTCCTGCTTGTAAACTCGTGTATCCATATAATTGGCTTATTTCATTTTCGTTGTAATTTTTTATAATTGACTCAAAAGGTTCAATGTTAGATAATAAGTATGAATCTGCCCAAATTTGCCATGACCTATATTTTCTATTATTCATTCTTGTAGCATATTCACAAAGTCGTTATATTCCAAAGCCAATGCTGTTTGTCATCTGTTTAACAACTAAACAGTTAATTGATATTATTTGTGCGCAGGCGTAGGCGGGTCTTTGAACTGTAACAAAACTCGAAACGAGTTGTGTTTTTTTTTCTTTTATTATGTTCGTTTTGTGTTTCATTTTTGTTGTTGTTGTTTTCATTGTTTTATTGATCTTGTTGTTACGACTATGACATTTATTGAATACATACAATCTATGACAAGAGTTGAAAAAACTCCATTGAAACTGAAATCAATTGATAATATTTGAAATGAAATGATACTCTAAGGGGACAGTACTTCAACAGACAGATTTCCTGTTCTTTATTTTTTTGTGGGTTGATTGGTTAGTCAACAGATGACAATGGATTGAATGGCTGCTGGGGTGATCTGTTTATAAATTATATGTTTGATATCAATTATATAGTTGTGGTCGTTTTTGTTGTTGTTGATTCTCCGATAACAATAATGAAATCAATTAATAATAATTAAAAAAAAAGTAATTTTGAAATGTCACATAATTTGGTTTTATTATTAGTCATAAATTTATAAAAAAAAAAATATGAAATATTGAAATTTGCAATTATATTTTTTCTGTAGATTAGATACGCATATATTAATTTAAATTCTTATATTCAATTATATCTTTAACACTTCAATGAGCCTTAACTAAAAATCCGAATACTCACTCTAGTACAAACTTGTGACGCTTATGTTGACCTTTACATTGTCCATTAAAAATTCCTCCAAAAATGGCATCCAGGAAATCAATTTCATATGAAATTCCATATACATTTCATAAAATTTCCAAATGAAAAAAAATCCATTCATTTTAGCCTAAATAAATATTTAAATTTTTTGCTTTTGGAAATATTGTAAATTTTTTGTTTGGCCATAACTTCTTTAACACGCTATTGTGTTGAATTATTGCCGAATTACTAA